CAGCAGCAACAGCAGCAGCAGCAGCAGCAGCAGGAATAGAAAAAACGGATGCTTACATGTTGTCTCTGTATATTATTTTGTTGAGTGTGTCTACTGCGTCTACTAGTTGCTGCTGCCGCTGCCGCCGCCGCCGCGGCCGCAGCAGCAGCAGCACTCTGCTGCTGCTGCTGCTGCAGCTGCTGCTGCTGCTGCTGCTGCTGCTGCTGCTGCTGCTGCTGTGTGTATATTAACCCTCTCTTTTTGTCTCTCCACTCTACTGCTCTTTCTCGCGCCACCCTAAAGCCAAATTTGCGTATAGGGAAGGTCTTCAGTATGCGGGGCCCCCCCTCTTCTATACATCTCTGCTGTCTCCCCCCTGCTGCTGCTGCTGCTGCTGCTGCTGCTGCTGCTGGCTGCTGCTGCTGCTGCTGCTGCTCTTCGTCTGCTGCTGCTGTCACCACCCAAGCCTTCATCGACTCAACCCAATACACCTGCGGCTCCACCGGCAGCTGTGCTACTCTCTCTAGGTAGTCTACTCTGCCGCTCGCGCTGCTGTATACGCTGCCTGCTGCTGCTGCTGCTGCTGCTGCTGCTGTTGCTGCTGCTGCTGCTGCTGACGATGAGAGCTGGGACGAAGAACCACCGTAAGACTTCACCAGAGATACACGACCCTCTGCTGTTGCTGCTGCTGCTGCAGCTGCTGCTGCTGCTGCTGCTGAGCCAACAGACTGAGCATCTGAACAACTGCTGCTGCTGCTGCTGCTGCTGCTAGCTGCATGCGGGTCTGTCGATGGCTGTGTGTCTGTTGTCGCCCCCCCCCCAGCAGCAGCAGCAGCAGCAGCAGCAGCAGCTGCTGCTGCTGCTGCTTCTCTTTCTTGTATTTGTCGCAGTTGTTCTAGGGCCTTCTCCAGCCTGGCGTTTGCAGCATCATAGTGAGCCTCTGCATGCGTCAGCTGCGGCTTTATAACAATCTGCTGCTGCTGCTGCTGCTGCTGCTGCTGCTGCAGACCACCAGCAGCAGCAGCAGCAGCAGCAGCAGCAGCAGCATGATCACTGTGCAAAACCATATCTCCATCAATTTGCATTTTCACAGCCTGCTGCTGCCCGTGCCCCTCCCCCTGCTGCTGCTGCTGTTGCTGCTGCTGCTGCTGCTGCTGCTGCAGTATCATAAGTTTAATTTTTTTTTGTTGCTGGAGTGTCTCCGCAGCTTTCTTTCTCGTCAGCAGCGCTAGCTGATGGGCCCGGCGGTATCCGTGTTTATTTACGGTAAAATAACGAATCACCCGGCGGCCCTCTTGGTGCCAAAAGGCCCTCCATATACGCCGCACACCATCGTAGTATACACCAGGTACCTTCAATACACTCTGCTGCTGCTCCTCCTGCTGCTGCTCCTCCTGCTCCTGCTGCTGCTGCTGCTTGGCCAGAGGTGGATCGGGCCTCCTGCTGCTGGGGGT